GTTTCGTGGATACTTTTAGGGACGCCGAGGACTAACCTGCTGACACGTCTGGGGTGGGCGGCGCTCGCTCCGCTTTCCAAACCTTCCTCCTGTTGTCCCGATCGGTGTTGGCGGCAACCGATCGGTCTCCTTCTGCCGTAGGGGGAATGTACCTGCAAAAGGGTACTTCTCCGCGACGCCCAAGTTAGGCGTTGTGTTTGAAGAGGCCTCGGCTCTTGGTTGAATATTTAGTGAATGGTTATCACTATTGACTATTTGAGAGTCATTAGAGTAAGTGGAACGTACCATGGCTTTCGGCCCTGGCTTTGTATTTTAATTTACCTCATGGTACTGAGCTGAGTAAGCCCAATAAAATATAAACAGAATAAATTAATAAACAGATTACCTGAATAATCCGATTTGTGTTTGTAACCACTGGTGTAATTTTTATACTAACATTATGCCTCCCCCACCCCCCAAGTCGAGTTAAGCGGTTGGCTTTAGCTCGTTGGGGGGTAACTATAGGACTGATGAGTTTGAGGGAGGCTGCGGTTGGCGGAACTGAAAGCGTTTTAATAAAAACCCCTCAAAACCTTCAACAGTACCGAGAGGAATTTACCACGTCCGGTCTTTCTACCTTAACCGAGATCGCTTTAAAAAAAACCTCTCGACCTTTTGGACATTAACCGAGCGGGATTACCGTCTCGTCCTCAATACAGGAAACGAGAGTAATTTATCTTCAGTCTTCAACCTTAATCGAGAGATTTTTAACCTCGCGACCTTCGACATTAAACGAGCGGGATTTACCGCTCGTCTTCAACAGGAACCGGAGAGGAATTTACCCTCTCGGTCTTCAACCTTAATCGAGAGGATTTACCTCTCACCTTCGACATTAACTCGAGCGGGATTTACCGCTCGTTCTTCAACAGGAACCGAGAGAGATTACCTCTCGTCTTCAACCTTAACGAGTAGGATTTTACCTACTCGACCTTCGACATTAACCGAGCGTGATTTACCGCTCATTCTTCAACAGGAAAACCGAGAGGAATTACCTCTCGGTCTTACAACCTTCAATCGAGAGGAATTTACTCTATCACTTCGACATTAACCGAGAGGGATTTACCTCTCGACCTTCACACATTAACCGAGAGGGATTTACCTCTCGACCTTCAACATCAACCGAGAGGGTTTACCCTCGACCTTCGACTTTAACCGAGAGGGGTTGTACCTCTCGACCTTTCACTTTTAACGAGAGGGGTTTAACTCTCGACCTTCGACTTTAAAACCGAAGGGGTTTACTCCGAAGACCTTGACAATTAACCGAGAGGATTTACCCTCTGCTTTGAGTAGGAGTGTTGCCTATGAACCGGATTTACCTCTCGTGAGGAGGGCTTTACCCTCTCCCAGGGGGATTTACCGCGCGTCTTCTCGACCTAGAGTGCTTCCTAGGGAAACGCGGCTTTACCCGTTTCGCGGCTGGAAGGGAGGTTTACCTCTGCTTTGGTTTAAATTAATGCAAGGAAAAATAGTTTTAGGGTATTGATGAGTGACACAAAATAGAGAAAAGTGTAGCTTTGGTTTGGTTTGTGACAAACATCAATTAATAATATTAGAATAACAAAAGAGTAGGGTAGGCATGTGTGTGTTTGATGAGTTAATAATAATAACTAAATAATAATATAATAACAATGATATTTTGGAAATAAATAAATTATACGTTGCTTTGTTTGGTGGTTTTTGCGGGACGAGACAACCTACCAGTGGTTGAAGAGAGAGTTTTTAACTTTCAATAATAACAGTAACAACAGAGAAAGAAAGAGAGAGAAAGTTAAGATTTTGAAGTGTGAAGTGAGAGAGATGGATACTGCAATGCTATGAAGATGGGATCTCAGCCTCACCCTCATCACCACTCTCTTTGATTCTGCGAAATCTTCAATCTTTTCAATCCTTCATCTTCCATCTTCCATCTTTCAGGTATACACTTTTCTCATTTTCTACACAGATCTTCTTCCATTGCATTACAGCTACTCTTCAATGGGGGTTTGCCTTCAATACCCATCTCCCCTTTTTCTTCTTCATTCCGTCTCTCAGCTTCTCAGAGCCTCTTTTTCATCTTTCTTTTTGTAAAAAACCTTACTTTTTCTTCTCCAACTCCAGTCCTTATGTATGGATGGATCTCCCAATGTTTGCATTCTGAGGGAGATCCATCACCCTCTGTTTCTCCTTCCTCTAGATCCACTAACCCCATCTTCAATTTTCCCTTTTCACCATTTCTACTTCACGCAACCTACTTCATAAAGTAACTGCTCCTGTTTACTTCCACTAACCTCATCACTGGAATTTGTTGGAATTCCCATTATGAAGAACCAGATGTACCCACTTTTCACTGGCCCAGCTCTATGTTTTTAGTTTGCTTTTGCTTCCAATGGATCAAGCAAATATATGTAATATTCACGTTTCTTATGTTGCCTACCTACACTTACTTCGTCTCATCATCCTTGATTCACTCGCTTTGATTTGTCCACATGCTCATTTCACTCACTCTTGTCTTTTTGCATTTTCTAATTTCATTAATATCCTTCTCTTCAATATGTTTCTTTTTTCGGAATGAATTAACACCTGTTAACTCTTTTTGTTTTTATTCGATCATTCTTTTCCAGAAAACACAGCATTGCATTTCCTTTCCCTTTGTTTGCACTTTTAATATGGTTTCTCTAACTGAATATGAATGTTCTCAATTAACTTCATGAGCTTTTTCCCAATATATATTTTTTGCTGCTTTTCTCTAAGATAAATATGGATGATCTATCCATAATGAGTGTTGAATTCTGGCTAAAATTCCATTTCAGTATTCTTTTCGATTCCACTGTTTTGCAGTATTGCTTTGAGTACCGCTTCAAGGAACTAGTACTGTTTCTCAATAGCGCCTCTTTTGCGCTGCTTTGAAAAAGTCTGATGGGTTCAAGATTCCCATCTCATCAGCTCAGTAATGGCCTGTATGTATCAGGCCGGCCTGAACAGCCAAAAGAAAAGCCTCCGACAATGAGCTCAGTTGCAATGCCTTATACTGGTGGTGACATCAAGAAGTCAGGAGAATTAGGGAAAATGTTTGATATCCCCATGGATGGTTCTAAATCTAGAAAGTCTGGTCCAATAAATAATGCTCCTTCGAGGACAGGATCATTTGCAGGTGCTTCACACTCTGGACCTATAATGCAAAACGCTGCAGCTCGTTCTGTTTATATTACATCTGGTAATGTATCTGCTGGAGGGATGTCTGCTTCAGCCTCAATGAAAAAGACCAACTCGGGTCCATTGAACAAACATGGGGAACCAGTCAAGAAGTCTTCTGGCCCCCAATCTGGTGGAGTTACACGCCAAAACTCTGGTCCAATTCCTCCAGTTCTTCCTACAACTGGTCTTATCACATCTGGCCCATTAAATTCATCTGGGGCTCCGAGGAAAGTGTCTGGTCCATTAGATTCTACAGGATCAATGAAATCACATACTTCTTTTGCAGCACACAATCCTGCTGTAACCACTCTCAGTCTAGATGACGAATTTTCCTTCAGGAGGAACTTCCCAAAGCCAATATTGTGGTCCGTGATTCTGATTTTTGTAATGGGATTCATTGCTGGTGGTTTTATTCTTGGAGCTGTTCGCAATGCCATTCTCCTCATTGTTGTCGTAGTTCTTTTTGCTGCGGTTGCTGCACTATTCACTTGGAATAGTTGTTTTGGAAGGAAAGCCATTGTTGGTTTCATTTCCCGTTATCCTGATGCAGAGCTTAGAACTGCCAAGAATGGGCAATTTGTGAAGGTTTCTGGGGTATGTAACTTTGAACCACACATACATGTATAATACAGTTAATTAAGTGAATGATCGCGAGAAAAACAGTCCTGCAAACACGCACATGCACACCTAAGCACCCACGCTTTAATTATTTAATTCATCTGTTGATTGGTGTATATTGCTTTTATGCGATTCACATTGATGAATTGAATGGTTAGCTGTCATCTTGTCTATATTGTTTATATATGCCTGAATGAGAGAAATAGATTTGTAATTAATTCTACCTTTTGAAGGTGGTTACCTGCGGTAATGTTCCTCTAGAGTCCTCCTTTCAAAAAGTTCCTAGATGTGTTTATACATCCACAAGCTTGTATGAATACAGAGGATGGGATTCCAAAGCAGCAAACCCAAAACATCGTCGCTTTACATGGGGACTTCGATCAGCTGAGGTAATTGCATTAATCTGTTCAGTCTTCAGATTGCCAAAATTTCAAATTTGATAAAATATTCAGGATTTCTTGATATACATTTACCATGGAAGTGAGTTAGATGGTGTGTTTTCCAATTGAATATACAGGAACTGTTGAGAGAGAAACAGAGTCATTTACTGAACTCTGTTGATTGTAGAATCACAACAAAAATACTGAATGGATTACTTTAATAAGGAAGGTTTTGCAAAATATAGTGAATGTATATTATTGTAATACATGGATCACAATTTCCCTAGTTGCATGTCTCAAAGCAATGTGAAACTAAACATACCTTTTCTAGACTGCAATTAATGCCACACAGTGGCTGCAATTAAGGTGGACTAGGGATAACTTTGATAAGTCAGCTTTCCGAGACCCCTCATGCTCAGGGCTATGGGTTTGGAGTGTGGCAGTGCAAATGACCCACTAATGAATCCAGGATACCATCATTTAAACCCTATTTAATATCATAAAATCAGCTTATAAGATAAGAATTGTCTAAGCTTTGTAAACACTATCCAAGGCATATCTTTAGGAGATGTGGGACTAAACACACCTTCGTGAGGCTGCAATCAAAGCAGACCAAAGAGTTCGCAATCGATGCTGGTTCGGATTTACTGCAATCAATCGACACTCCAACACTTTTTGACCAATCTTTTATATTAACTGTTATGTAATATAAAATCATTCGGAGAGTAATGCCCTCAATAAAGAAAAATGTTAGTTCTTAGATTGATCAGAGCATAGTAGTCGATAGTGGGATATGGCATTGCTATAGCAAAGTAGTGATGGGGACTGACCATAGAATTCGATTGGCATAGGGACTTCACTTGCAATAATCATTGTGGCCAAAATAGTGTCTTTTCTCGCACTATGGCAACGTTACTAAGATGGCCTTCAATTCAAACCATTTTTTTTACCCTTTAGAAATTTTAGGGCTTTTGTTTTGGGGTAAAATTGTGACCTTCACCCTCTCCCCCTAAGATTTTCCAATGCGTTTTTTGATTCAGAAACATCATAGAGTTCGAAACCCTTCCTAGTTCTTCTCCATTCATTCACTCAAAAGTCACTTTTGTTTTGACATCTGGTCATTCACACTTATCAGGTCTGTGTTCCCTTTTTGTGTTGGTATCCTGCTTCTTTTTCGTTCAGATTCCAATCTTTATAGTCTCTTACTTTTTTAATGTGTTCTGTTTGTGTTTTTTATTAATTTCACTGTCATCTTTTTTCTTCTTTTTGACTTCATTCCTATCTTCTTATTTATTACTCTTAGATTGATGATGATTGCGTGTAATCGATGACTTATTTATCATGGATTTCTTTTTTGGTTTTTAGTATTTATATATGTGGTATATATTATTTACTTCATAGTATACTATTTAAAATAGAGGCCCTCTTGCTTTCCACCATTTTGCTATAGCATTTTTGGAGTTGACCACTTCCTGCCAATATCTGGGATTGATGACTATGATGAGTATGGCCATTTATTCTAGCAACAATGACAATGGTACATTCTAACAGGAACATTTATGATTACCAAAATGATCTTTGTGCAATATAAAGTTAGTAAAAGGTTCATCGTGTTAACGTAATCGATTTACTATTTATTGGATTTAGAAAATGGAAGATATTTAAAGACACTAACCTATTTACACAGAAGCTTATTAAATTAAATTTTATAAGTAATTAAAAAACTAAAAAGTTAATTTATTAAAAAAATAATATAAGAAACATTCTAAATTCATTCTTATAAAAAAAACCGTCAAAACATTTAATTTGGTTCTTATTCAAAAAATGGAAAAAAATGTGCTTAATTCATTAACATAAATAAACATAGTTAAATTTGTTACTTTTAACAATACTTTACAAAATTTCAGTTGTATTTCATAAATACCAGGTAAAACTGTTTAAGTGATTATTATGTTTATAACACTGTAATACGTGGACATAAAAATTTCAACAATAAATGAGTTATCAATAAATATATAAATGTATTTTTCAATAAATACATGTTCTATTAATAGACTTTATAATAGATCATAGATTGCAATTTTGTTTCTTGTTTTGAAACAGTTAAAAAAAGAAATCTATATTTCAAATAAAAGTTAATACTTTACATATGTTTCTTATATAGAAAAAAATCGCAACTATAGTCTTTTGTTTTAAAGAAGTTAAATGCACGGTTTAGTAAGTTGTGATTCTTTTGGGGGTGTTTTGGAAGCAACGTAAGCATGTATATAGGTGTAGTAAATGAAAAATGATCATTTCACACTCACTCTTTTTTAAAATAATTGATAACCCTTTTAATAATAAAATATTTTATTCAGATGATAATAGTAAATATAAATAAAATTTTATAGTAAAGTACAAATATAAAATAATGATATACTATATTAAATTGCGGAATACAGTATTCCTAAGTACATTTAGGATCAAACAAAATATGATATATATCCTAGGAACATAGGATACAATGATATGTTCTAGGCTATAGGAATATAAAATTTAAAGGAAAATGGTAATTCTTGTGCCAATTCGTATTGCACGAGGTATCTACATAAAAACCATCTTCATTCCTGTTTTTATTTTCTTAAATTTAATATTTGCATAGTAATATTTTAATAATATTTGCAAGTTTAAAAATCATTCATACTGAAATAAAAATTTTCCATGATCAGCTCCATAAGAACGATTAACATCAGCCCCAAAAGAACGGTTGCGTAGAAAGAATGCACTTTAAATTTAATTTAATTCATAAAAGTGAATTATAAAATAAAATTTACATTCACTTATATAATTAAAATCTTGAATGAATGATGCTGAAACTTTTAACAATGTGGTTGAACATATATGCTGTATGTGAGAATCGTAATATACATTTGGTGTCAACTCCTCGGAAATTCTTGAACACATTTCCTTGATGTCAACTCCAAGCCTTGGAAATTCTTGAAAAGTTGAGTTGATGGAAACTATAAGAAAGAGATTAGAAGCAACTTCAACTTGAAGGAAATTCTTAATCTCTCTGTCAGACTCATAATATAGATTTCCTTTGATTTCAACTCCAAAGCCATGACAATTCTTGGAAAGTTCTCTGTGTTGATAGAAACTATAATGAAAAGAGATTAAGGAGAAACTTAGAGCCGGTTAAGTTATAAGTTCCTTATATATGCAACTCCTTCAAAAAGTTTTAAGCCAAAAATCATGTATCTGACAAAAACAATGAAGCTTTATCATATAATACTGTTGTGCCAATAATCATATGTAACTGACGAAAATACCGAAGCTTGCTTTGGCGTAGATAGTGTTGGGCCAAAACCATGTTGGGGAAGAAAACAAAGAAGCTTCATGGCTGATGGCAATAATCTTTAAAGTATTATACAATTAATCTCTTATTACTTATTAAATATAATTACCTGATTTTTTTAGTTAAATTTTATTAAAACCTAATACAATATACAAATACAAAAGTAATTAAATTCTTTATATTTTGATATGTTCTGCAAAATACATAATAAGTTTTAGTGTATAAATGAAATATTAAGTAATTTTTAAATTAATATAAATTTATATAAAAAGATTATTTATGTGAAACACGTTTTCAACCTAGTATTTGATGTTAAGATTATTAAATAATGAAATAATCAATTAGTTACGTTAGTCTGTGCAATTACTCTGCATAATTTGTCGTGGTGTGAAAGCTTCAAGAAGATTGTCTCATAAAACTTTGGTTGTGGTGAAACAAACGGCAAAGATAGCATATTCTGTATTCTACAACAATTCGGATTGTAGAAGAGTGTGAAAGTATTCAAGTAACAACAAAATATCAAACAACATAATAATTCACGTAAAATGTCGTTTATGCATCCTCTACTTCATTTTTTTTTTTGTTAGAGTTGTCATATGTAAGAATTTGAATTTGCGTTTGCCTTTGTCTTTGTCTCCAGTTTATATTTGATATTGTATGACAATGATGAAGCTTATAAGGGATCTCAAAGGGTCAACTTAACTTCACTACAAAAATAATACATTTTAGTCGAAGTTATTTTCCTGCGGTTTTTAAAACCTCAACTAATTTCCGGTGGTTTATAACAAAACTGTCCCTAATATTTAGTTATTTATTTATTTAGAATAATTTTTTCCTAACCCTAGTGTCCTTTCCGCTCTTTCATTCCCGCTTCTGCCTCTTGTAGTCTTATTTTCTCCCAACTCTATCTGTTCCTCCGTCTTTAAACCAAGTGTGGAGCTGTTTCTTCATCTTCAAACAAGGTTGTCGAGAAGAGAAACCAGGAAGCCCGTCGCGGAGGAAGTTGATAGCGTCATATCTAATCCGCGGTGCGACAGCCTCTGCCGGTGGGTGTGGTGGTAGGGGAACTTTTTCCGCGACAATGGTGTTTCAACGTCTTCACGGCGAGTTTCCAGTGACTCAGGCGCGGTGTTTTCACGACGCGAGGATCTCGTTCTCCAGCGTTTTAGCGACAACAGAGACTTGGATGGAATTCGCGATTTATTTAAGTTTGAATTCGGGTTCTGTTTTTAGGGATTTGAATGGGGTTTTCTTCCGGTGTCCCATGATTTTGGGTATGGTTGTGGAGGAGAAGAAATTCCAGGAATCTATTTTAGTGGGATTGATTGCTTGTATGTGGTACGATATGATTTTCCCCTATTTTAATGTTCATTAGGGTATAATTGTATGTTTAAGGAATTGAAAATAGAACACTCTTCTAATCCTTGTAACTGAGGTCTCTCTGCATTTCTTTGATATTCCTTAGGTACATATTGCAGTCAAGATGTTGCTATCAAAGTTGTGAATATGGATCCGGGTATAGTGAAAAAACGGAGGGGAGTGAATATGGATCTGGGTATGGTGGAAGGAAGAGTAGTGGGTACGGGGAAGAACAACAACAGGACAATGGGAATGGTTATGGAGGGAGGAGTGAGTATGATGAGAAACCTAGCTATGGGAGCCAAGGAGGTGTTGAGAATGGTTATGGGCATCCACCTCAGGAGGAGGGCTACCGAAAGCCTTGCTATGAGAAGCGTGATGATGATGATGATGAGGGCTATGGACACAAGAAATATGTAATACTACTGCATCATGCATTTCTTCAACTAATGAGGTTTATGTAGTGTGTGATTTGTAGTACAGGGATTTTACTTTGCTATCTAATCAC